GCTAGGATTAACTCCCACCAAATGAGGTGGTGTAGGATTCTTAATGTAATGACGATAAACTTATGTTTAATAAATGTTTCACATTTAATGCTTATTTGCAGCAGGAAAAAAAAAATAATTAAAATTACATAATTAAACAAAAAAAAAATTTTTTTAGGCAAGTATTTATTACTTTATTAATCATATAAACAGAGTTTTATTAATACTTGTCAAAAATAATTTTTTTAAAAAATTATTTTATTTTATTTTTGTTCATTTATATAAGAAAATCTTTTTTAAAAGATTTGATTTAAACAAAAAGTTATTATTATTATTAAAATTATTATTAGTTAAAAAATTTTTTTAAAATAAATAAAAAATTATATTGTATATTATATTCTAAAATAAGAATCAAAAATTAATTGTTTTTAATTTTTAACACGAAAAAATAATTCTTTTTATGATTTCATCATGACATAGATATAAAATATATAATTAATGTAATTAAAATCAAGTAATTATGTAATTTAACAACATTAATAATTTAACTACTTCATAATGACGTGCTCGAGAAAATATTAGTCATGAAATGTAGTAGGCTCTGTGTGAAATATTGATTATTATTATTTTAGTTCTTGTATTTTTAAATCAAGAATCAGTTCCTAGAATTGAAGTAACGCGCGCGTTTTTGACGTCTTTCTGGCATTTACAACGTGAGAAACATAAGATACATCTTTCTTTAGAAACGTACACTTGTATTAAATGTGAGCAATAAATAATTTTTTAAACGCAATGTTTCTTTAAATATGCATACTTATTATTCTTATACAAAGAATGTCAGAGGAAGAGGCTGAGACTAAAGCCCGTGGTACCAAACGAACTCGCTCTTCGTCTGATACCCTTTCATCAGCAAATGAAGATGATGCCGAAATGAAGCTCGTATCTCAGGGATCTCGAGAATACCTTAATCCTATCGTATACATTGAATACGATCCCAATAAATACGGTGACATCCCGGAATCCTCCTCTAATTCAAAATTAGCAGCAAAAAATTTAGACTTCTTTAAATCCGAAAATTTCAAACCAAAATTGAGGATTACAAGATCAATGTCGAAATCTTTATCTTCTTCCATTAAAGTCGTGTCATCAAATAAAACTGTATCTGATGAGCTTAAGACTGTTTCGGGTGAAGCTACCTCCAGTAATGCCTCTTTTTCGGCTAGCTCCTCTACGGGCAATGCCTCTTTCACAACGGAAGAAAAAATCAGTTATCAAAGAAAATGGTCTAATTCTCAACGATTGCAATTACTGGAAGCTGTGTTGGAAGAGATCAATGTCTTAAATTGGGAGGCTGTTGCAGAGAAAGTCGACGGTAAAAGTTCGAAGTCGTGCAGGAATCATTGGAAAAGAAAATTGGCTGCTGATCTAAGAAATTCATTGATTAGTGATAAATGAATTAAAAAGAAAAAAAAAGTTACTTAGGCTAAATGTTGATTTTCTTATATGATTGTCGAAATTTTGAATTGCCACATACTGTATATCTAACCAGATTGAATAATTATTAATATTAATTCAAAGTGCTAATTCTTTAATTGCTAATCTTGTTATTATGTGCTAATGTTAAATTTTGGAATCTTTTTCAGGAAGTAACATTAGAATCGAAATAATATAAATTCACATATTTATAAATGAATTATAATTTATTTATTTATTTTTTTGATAGATAAATATTATTATTTTATTAATTGTAAAAAATTCAATTTAATAAAAATTATTATTATTATTATTCTTTTTATTATTATTTGATAAGCATTAAATGTGCAGATTTTATTAAACAAAATATTTATAATCAGTATATTAATAATTTTTACAAAGTGAGATACAAAGTAATTAATCAGTAAAAAACTCTTATTATTTATTATTTCAAAAAATATTTAAACAATAAAATTATATAATAATAAAAGTTATATATATAATAAATTAAATTCTATTATAGAATTATTAAATAATACATATATTAAAAAATTGCCAAAAACTCTTTTTTGTAAACCATCAAATTCTTAAAAATTATCTTTTTTGATAATTTTGAGAACACTTGTCAAAAATTATCTTTATTCTCAAAAATTACAAAATAATCACAAAATAATAGAAAACTATAACCAAAATACAGCTATCCAAAAAGGTAAATTTATTTTGTGAATTACATTACCTATTAATAACTTTTGTTAAACACCTCTTCTCTTCTTAAATAGACAAAAGTTATATTAGAAAAAGAAAAACACAAGTATTATAATTCACAGTAAGTTAAAAAAAAAGGCAGCATCAATCCTTCTAGCTTTTAGCCAGTTATATACAAGATTTTGCACCTTCCTAGACACCAGAAGAATTTTTGTTGGCCAAATTCCATCTGATAAATCAGGCAACCTTGACATCAAATAAAAAACAAGGAGACATTAAACTTTCTTCAGGAAATTCAGATTAAAGGATTCAAATAAACAAAACAACAATACATCAGTCAATATCAATTATCTATAGTTATGCAACAAAACTTTCAATTAGAGGAAAAAAATCAAAATCAGCTTACCTTTAACAAGTAATTGACATACTAAAAAACATATAAAACAAATCAAAACAACTTAAGTAAACAAGATCTACATATTAACCAAAATCAAAATAAGTTTAAGTAAACAATATCAGCATATCAATAATATAAATGTAATAACAAAACAGGCATGTTATATAATTAACACGTCAACAAAACTGACATGTTAACATCACAATCATATTTTTATAAGTACAAGTAATAATAACAACAAACATATTACTACAAAGGGTATCCATATTATTGTGGACACTTTTTATTATACAATAAAAAATTAAAATTATATATTATAAAGCATATTATATTTAAATTTCAAATAATTATA